TGGCCTGAGGCCCTGGAGCGCTTGCTTGCTTACTATCAGACATCTTCTATTGCTTCACTAGAGGGAAAAAAGTGGCTTCTCTGGACGCGCTTCAAATTTGGGCCGCGGTCGAGGTATGGAGCAAAATAAAATCTCATGCAACATCAGGGTTCCCAATATGGACCATCAAAGCAATGATGGCTCTTCAAATAGTTCGAGCGATACTCTGTCCATGAGTCCATGCCAGTGTCGCGCTTGCTGCATTCATAGACAATATGCAAAGCTGCATCCGGAGAAGCACGCCGAAAACATGCGAGCTTATTATCACAAACATCAAGAAGCCATATTGCTACGCCAAGCGTACAAAAGATATTTGAGGGGTCAAACAAAGAGACTTCAGAAACAAACGTTGATCCGCTTGGCCAACGCTGGTTATGACGTGCCTCAAACGGCCTCTTTGAACATGCCAGGTGATGCCAAAGCAGCGAATTTCCATTTGGGAGCCTTTACAAGTATCGAAGTCTCCTGAAGCATCCGCCAGACAGGCGAGCAGCTCGAGCCAATTATGACTCTGTCAAAATTGAATCTTGGATCCGTCCGGAAGGTACTTTTTCTCATAGACTCTTTGAGCAATAGATGCCGTTTGGAGCATCTGATGTGCCAACTCCTCCCTCTCTCGCAGGCTGGGGGCATCTTTCATTGCGTTCGAGACACAGATCTTCCGCAAATGACAACTTCCAACGGCTGCGTCTTTGAAGAGACCGGTCGAGCAGAATTTCGTCATGTAATTCCTGCTCATCGGCTGATCAGGTGACCTCATTCTTGATAACAGGTACTTGCGCGGAAACACCTGAAGGCTTTCGGCAATCACGTTGTTTGTCCGCGTGCTCATATCAATATTTGTTGGGCCATGGTGTTTGACTGTTTTGAAATCCTTCAGGACCAGACGAAACTGGTTGGTTTCGAACTCTATCAAGTAGTTTCGAGATGATGACATAAGCTCGCGAGCCTCAGCAGTTCCGATGTCCTTGTGTCGGACGATCGGGCAATCTGAGTAGTCATTGCAAATCGCAGGCTGGTAGGTAAATAGACACAGGATCAGGTGCCGAATCAAGATGAATCTGTCTTCGATGGTCAAATCCTCTGGTTTCTTGGGTAGGATCTTGCGGTTCACATAGCGCTGGAGCTCTACTCTTCGCTCAGGTATTTCATCCAGCGTCTTCCAGTTTGCTGCCTCGTGCTCGGTGAGCTGCTGTGGCGGGGGCCGGGCTTCGTCCATGAGTTTGCGGACCACTGTGAATCGTTGGTAGTACGCATCATGCAGTCGTTTGTCATTTGAGAATGCTTTTCTGCACACGACCAAAAGCGGATTTATGCCTGTTGCCTGCATACTTAGCTTTACAGGATACGTCTCCTGAAAGTATTTGATGATTGTGTCGAATTCCCTGATCCATTCCAAATTGTTAAAGTTGCTCTGTTTGTGCAAACCCTGAAACAAGCGCATGACGTGCTTCACATATTGCGCGATTGTGTTTTGATTTCGATCGCCATCGTCGAATACTTGGCGTAGCAGTCGTTCACCGTTGGTTACGGTGGTTACGCATTTCGTGCTTCCGCTGGGCTCTTGCATTTTCAAGTTTTCTAAGATAATCGTGGAAAATTTTCGACGAGCCAAACGCTCATCTTTTCAGATAACGTGATTATCCACGTTTCAAAAACTGTCAAACGAATTCAACATGCAGAGTCGCTTTTGTCAATTTTGTGGTTACAAAAGCTTGAATAAGCCTGCTTCATAGCCAGACGGCCCCTCAATTTTCGATCGAAAATACACCAGCTCTAGATAATGTGACTAGCGGTGTACAGAAATAGAAAAGTGGGCTTTTTTATATATTCCGTTATCCAGACCGGGCGGATTTGGGAGAGTCGAGAGCGCCTCGAACCTTTTCTGGGTTCGCCAGTTGCTCTAAGCCCAGCACATGCACGTTATTATCCGTCCAGATGACACTCGTAGGACGAGATGAGAAGGATGGGGACACCGCTGTTGGCTGCATGTGGTCTACGGGAGAAAACACTCGAGCATTGTGCACAATCTCCCTAGGTGTCACGACCCGCGGTTTGCGGGCTCGTCGCCGTGCTTGAGCTGCATTTCTTAGGGCAGCTCTCCAGCTAACCTTCACAGCGTACGGGCAATTCTCGTTGCTTTTATCCCAAAAGGCATGGAAACCCTCCGCAATCAACGAGCGCACGAGGGCTCTGCATATGTGGGGCAAATTGAACGGTTCCGCTAAAGATCGGATACCGCCTAGAGCAACAGCAGAGTCCAACGTCGTCTCGAGAGATCCGGACTCTTGATAGGACCTCACAATTGCAGATCGAGCGCTTTCAAGAACCTGTTATCCATATCAAGAATGGCAACGCGCGTTTGAGGACGGAAACCAAGGATGGCGTCCATACAAACCGTTCAGATTTTGTCTCTAGGCAAAATTTACGAAGTACCATTCAAAAACGATTGTTGTTGCCTCTGATCAATGTCTCGAGCTACATGTAGGTATCAGCCTTTAAGGGTAGAGCTATGGAAAGTCTCATGCCCAGCGCCCTTCAAATTATGATCGATTCCCAATTATGATCTCGCAAAGCGTCTTGTTCAAAGCAGGATGGTAGCATGCGCTGGAGCCCGGATTGCCAACAATCTCCGCCACAAATCCCCACGGTCCGTAGCGGCCCCTTCCCCAATTGACGCGGTGCACTCGTGCTTGCATCTCCAACCCTCTGCGAATCGGGTCGAACACTCTATGATACTTGATCTCGCGCCCTATGAAGCCCAAAGGCGAGTAACGATCCGTAGGGTCAAAGAGGCCGATGGCGTACGCGTTATATCCGTCCATCGAATGCTTGCGTAGCACAAGCTCCCGACCGGTTTGAAGCATGCGAATTCGGTTCTGACGACCTTCAAAGGTGACCCCAATGGCTCGGCATAGTATGCGTCCATCAGCAAGCTCCTCCATTGCAGAGTTTGCGAAATTGGTATCTTTGCACGCCGAGACATATCCCTAAGTACGAACGCACATGCAGCCCATTAGCTTGGAGGATTCTCTTTCGAGGCATTCGCACCATGATGCCAAAAACAAGGGTTGGCATGCGCGCGTGTTCTAGACGCACATTGGACATACTAATGGAGGCAGATTTGCAAAATTGTCTCAAATCGATCAATGCAAGCCAAAAAACAAAACTACGCTCCAAGCTCCCTGTATTTAACCTTGTCCATCTCCCATACTTTACAGTCATTATTACTTTACAACCGCGTTCGGTGCTGCGCCCATCACCGAAGCACGATCATACACTCCTCTGGATCCTCCTCGGTTGTCGGCGAGCGCAGGTCCTCTAGCAAAGGGTGACCAGACGGCCTACGCAACATATGGTCCAGATCGCTGGCATCAACCTCATTGAGAAACCCTCTAATTGCAGGCTCCAGCTCTCGTCGATGTTGCCATACACGAGGGACTTCACGAAACTGCAGCTTGACGAGCTTTGCCATCCTGAGAACGTGCTTCCGCTCTAGCTTGTACTTGTAGTCGCTGTTTCCAGACGCCGACTCGTGCTGCTTCCCCTTCCCTCGTCGCGGACGGCCCACCTCGATTGCTTTCCCCAGTTTGAGGCCCATACGTGCGAGCACTCCGTTCATCACCCCTTTCAATTGACCGGGATCGAGTTCGGTTTTTTCATCTCTAGGCGCCTGCAACTGGATTTGAAACATCTCGGAGACCGCACGCCCCGACATCGCAGATTTTGCACCGACCTGCTTAGGACGGCCTCTGAACAGCTCCAATTTCAGGAGCCTGTCTTTGAGTCCGCCCGCAAGTAGCGAGCAAGTTGCACCACCCACGTCGAAAGGGTGCGCCAGGCCCAGGTCCTTGAGCAATCCCCGTGCAGTCTCCACCATTTTGGGCTCGTGGCTCTGGCGAGCCACCGCCCCCTCGTCGAGGAACCGCCCCGGAAGTAGCACCTGTAGGAGAAAGTCGAGCTTCTTTGAGAACGGGGCCTTGTAGTCGGCCTTTGTTTCCTTGAAGAAGTGCTCGTCGATGTCTTTGAGGCCGTAATATTGGCAGGCCTCATACCTGGCCACCTCGAGATTCTGCACCCCCCTGTCCCTCTTCACATCTCTCAACTTCCTCAACTCCTCATACTCCGCCGCATCGATCGCCCTCGCCCCGATGATCTGCAAGGCCTCTGGGGGCAGCCCTTTCCGCCTCTTGCTCTTCCCCGCAAGCTCCTCGGGTTGCTCAATTTCTATCACGTGGCCAGCCCGCGCGACTTGCAGCTGGAACTCGTGAAGCAGGCGCGCATCCGAGTTCCGCCGCTCTGCTTCCGTATGCGCAAACGTCCGGAAGAGGGGGCCGTCTTCTATCAGCCGAACAACTTTGCCGGGTTCCTCGGTGCTTGACGGAACCCGCCTCCATGCAGCCGTCACTTCGCTGTTGCAGGCTTGCAGAAACTGCAGCGTCTCCGCCATGGTCACGCGCCGTGGGGGGCCAAAGAGTCCCTGCAAAAAGGAACATCACCTTGAGCAATCTTCTCACACAGCTGTGCCACAATCAGATGTTATCACCTTCACTAGCTTTGGAGATTGCCCAATAGTCCCAGAATGACCCTTTGAAAGCTGACCGAAAACAGATCCTCACAAAACTGCCCCCAAAACTGGCCTTCAACAAAGCTAGCCTCTGAACCGGCCCAAGACTGGACCTTGCGAAACAAGTTCACAAGACTGGGCCCTAGAGATTGGCCCCGAAAGGTGACGCCTGAAACCGCAACATGCTCGACATGGACGAAAGCTCGAGAACAACCTACTCATTGTACACTTTGTGAAACCATGCGAAGCCATGCAAAGCCACTGAGTCAGATTGGAATCAAGGCAGGTACTTCAACATCCACCAGGCAGGCACTTCGATCTTCACTTCTCACCTTGAGTTGCTCAGAAGTTAGGCCACGGGAAGGTCCTGCGTCCGACTGGAAACTGGACGCCTGGCAGAGAGGGGAATCGACCGCCACTTGCTGGTCCAAGCGGCCGCCACCAGAATCCTACGAGTGAGAAGGATAAATGATTATGTCAAGTTCCCACGGGTCAAGCATGTGTCCCAAGCTCGCATCAGGTATGTTGGCAGAAACTCTGCAATGAAGCACTTTCCAAGCGTCGTCAGGCAGCATCCAGAGTACAGGCTTGAAAGACCGCAGTTGCATCAAGCAGGAGGAGATGCGACGTACGCATAGACAGAGCGTCAGATGGATCGAGTACCTGCAAAGCAGGGTCGTCTTCAGCGTCCAGAGCCTGTGGTGCCACAGTCGTCGTTCTCTGCAAAACAAATCGAAGTTCAATAGATCTCTTGGTAGCGCACCAGACTCAGGCATGCAGATTATAGCACAAGATAGATCCAAGTGGCTTCTCCAGCTCAAGCACGATCCGCTCATTGATTGCTCAAACTGGAGCCAATAACCTGGACGAGCTAGGCACCACATGCAGTCTCCTCACCTGCTGTTCCGGGGTGCAGAGTCGCGCGGCCGGTACCTCTTGCGCACAGTCAAGCATCACGGAGATGGACGACTGGACGAAGCAGTGAACCAGTGGGCTCTCCGTTTGCCGCACCCGCAGCGTCGCCTGCCAGGCTGCCCGAGCAGTCGTGCTCTTCTTGCACATGAAGAGAAACTTGGTGTGAAACCAAGGAACGTCGAAGTTCACGCCCGCCTCTATAGAGGGACTATACATGAGCAGGCGAACCTTCCAGTTCTCTGCAACGTTCTTCAGGAGAGCCGTGGTGTCGCCCCCGCTCAAGGCCCTGTGGATGAGGATGTCCGCGTCTGCGAGCCCGAGCGAGTTGTTCAACATGACCCGGTCCCGGATGCGGTCCAGGACCCGCGCGGACATGCTGACGACGACCACGTTCTTGCCGGCTGCGAGATCAGCGACTATTCGGTCCAGCCACTTCTTCTCGTCCAGACCGACGCAGAACGTCAGAGGCACCTGCGCATAAAGCGATTCCAATGATCAGCGCCTCGTAGGCAACATATGCGATTGAGAGCAATGCGTACCAAGAAACGACGTCATTCAACCTGCTGCTGCTGCTCCTTGGTACTGCGCTATCAAACATAACACCGTTGGTAAAGCTGACAGTGTGGCCGGGCCCTGGCGGGTTCAGAGCTGCTCAAGGGTGGTTTAAGCGGCACGTGCTGAGGCGCTCAAAAAGGAGAAGGTGTGGCAAAAGTCTACTGCGCCTCAACAGCTGTTTAGCACACCGAAAGTCCGAAATCCTATTCCGAGTTCCTGATCCTACGTCTTCGCTTTGATTCGAGTGCTACCAAAGCACAGGCATGTTGTAACAGGCGCTTGGAAGTGCCGAGAGTCCTAATGGCCACAACTTCACCAAGTAAGAACACTCGCCGCATCAAAACTGCCATCCCTATTAGATGAGATCGATTTGGTGCGTACCGCTGCCCTCCTCGTGTTGATGATGAGCTTCCCAGGCACGTTCGCGAGTCGAAAGAAGTCGTGCTCCCGCTGCCCGTACCCGTCGTCCATGGCCAATACACGCTTCGCCCGCTGGACAATCTCCAGGAATAGCTCACCGGTCTCCATGCCGTTCCTCAAGGTCGCCGCGGAGAGGTGCGCGAGGATGCTTGCCACCTCGTCCAGGATTACGAGGTCGAATGGGGCAACCTCACCGATGCCACCCGGCCGCAGGTTCAGGAGGCTGTCCACCTGAACCACAATTTCAGGGAAGTCCTTGCGGGACTGGAGGGCCGTCAGGAGGTTGTGCTTGTCGTTGGGATCTTGAAACCACTGGTTCTCATAATCCGCCTTTAGGTCGAGGTAGTTTGCGGTGCGGGGAAAGCGGCGTTTGAGGTCCTCGGCCTGCGCCACCCGGTATGTGATCATGATCGTCGTCATGGGGCGGTCGCTTGCTCGCCAAAGCTCATCTCCGACCGCCCCGCAGAACACCGTCTTACCGGTATTCACGCCCGACCGGATGCCGAGTAGAGGAAACTTTCCCGCAATCCACCTGCACAATGTCGACACGAGAATTGCATAATCATCATGTCCTAGCATGTGCGTAAGGCGCGGTCAATCTCGGGTTGGCGGTTAAGGGATGCTCAACTCAAAGGTCGGTTACGGCTTAACTTTGTTTATGCGAGTCACGAAAAGTGCTGTCACAAAGATGCCGCCCCCCTGTCAAACCTAATGGCTACACTCTTTGGAACTACTTGGACAGCGAAGGCTTGCAGCTTGATCTTATTCTTGGACACATTGAAAGTAAAAACTCATGGCGTTCAATTTCAAACTTGGCACCTGCAAGCGGCTCAAACGAACGGGTTTCAAATTAACCTTATTCTGTACGCGGCCAAAAGGAGAACCCGTGGCCCAGCTGGCTTGGGAATGGACACACGACAGAAGGACACTCGTCAGAATGCAACTCAGGGAGATCCCGAACACCTCGTGCGCACCCAGATCAGTCAGTGCCTGCAGACAGCCCCGCTTGGCCTGAAGCGAAAACGTGTCAGAAAAACATCGTCGAGCGTGGCTGTCTCGCAGCAAAGGAGATCACTCATTGCGGGCGGACGCCCAACAGCGCCGAGTTCAGGCGGCGCTCGCAAACAGCCTCGCTCAGTCAAGATTCTTAAAAGTGGACACGTGGCCGAAGGAACTTGTCAAAACGTGGACTGTTTCGCATCAGGAACACGCCACGAGCACCCGATCCATTCAGCGCTTGCGAAGAATCCCGCGCGAGTGGAAGGACAGTCGTCAGAATCCACAGAAAGGAGGCTCTCCGCATGACCGAAGGTGGTGTACATTTGAACCTTACTTCTGTGAGCGCTGTGGAATAAAGCTCGTGACTTTCATCCACAGGGCTAAATCTTACAAACTTGCTCAAACATGGAAGAAATACGACTCAACCTCACTCTCGAAAGAAGCAAAGTCCCCTCCTTTCCGAAAAGTCACTTACTCGTTGGCGATCGTGTTCAACTTCATCAGATTGTCCGGCTTCCTCAGCCCCGCCGCTACTTCGGCCACGAGC